ACTACTAACACTCACAGCTGTTCCGTACCAAACTCGGTCTGTATAAACAGTACACGATGTGAACAGATCGTCTGTTATCCATTGCAATTAGCTTTATCTAATGTCTGTCCACCTCGTCTTGCAACAAATTCTGCAGCTCCATCTACGGCCACAATGACAACAACCAGAACAAGTAAATTGACTGAGCTGATCTCACCTCAGCAGTTGTCTTCACTCTGATACTTTCTTTAGCCACAACGAGGGTCCCCACAACAACAACAAGGCAGCCCAGCACGACAATTACCACTCATAGTATGTAAACTGTGACAGTCTACTGTTCGATGCGTCGACAGCCCTGTCCGACTTTTAGCAACAACGAAGCCTCCTACGACCACAACCCTGCCAAGGACAACAACAACTGTGAAAACAACAACCACAAAAGGTAGAGAACTCATCTTGCCATTTGAGTCTTAGTGTGCTTTTAAGTAGGCGGATTTTGACTGGACAACTTTCGCAGACTGCCTAAGCAAAATATTTAAATTACGGATAATACCAAGATACAAACCTCTTTCAGCTATAATTCTTTCCGATTTTTCAGTACAATTTTTTATTGTACCCTATAGCGTGTTTTTCCATAGTTCTGTAGAAGAGATGTGTAGGACAGAGTTTTGTCAACTCTACCAGTGACCTGCAACCCGACCCTAGGATCGGGTCGGGTTCGGGTTAGGTTTTCTTAACCCGTGCAGGTCTCTAAACCCTACCCGTACTATCCCCTACGCTCAAAACGAAAAAGCAAAACCGTACCCTGTTTCGCTCTCATCTGACATGTTTGTCACTATACACAATCACATCATCAGGAAAAAAAATTCTCAGATCTAACTCTACCCTACTGAGGAGGATAGGATACTGTCGAAAGCACCTGCCCATCTCTATTATGTAGGCGATCAGATGTGTGTTTTTTGACTGTCTGATATAGCAGCAGAAAAGTGCATGTGGCAGCTCATTCGCGCCATGCGTTATAACGGTTCATTACAACTGTAAGGTTCGAAAAGACGTGATCTGTAAAACCTGACGAAAGCCAGACCAATTCTTTTTCTAGCACCAACAACCACCACCAGCACAGAGGGTGCCCAGCCTGTAATACTTTGTGCTACATCGACATGGAATTAGGGGTGTTAATTTAGTGTTACTTTGGAAAATAAATATAAATGAATCATTTATACTTAAAAAATAAAGATAAATTTTTCATTTATATTTAAAAACTAAATATAAATAAATGAAAAAAAAATTTATCTTTATTTTATAAAAGTAAATGATTCCTTTACATTTATTTATTTATTTCTACCTTTACTTTTAAAAATAAAGGTAGAAATAATAAAGGAATCATTTACTTTTATAAAATAAAGATAAATGGATCATTTACTTTTATAAAATAAAGATAAATTTTTTTTTCATTTATTTATATTTAGTTTTTAAATATAAATGAAAAATTTATCTTTATTTTTTAAGTATAAATGATTCATTTAGTTTTATCCTTTATTATAAATGAAAAATAAAACTAAATTAACACCCCTACATGGAATCAAACGGGAATCACAGTTGCCGGGAATGGAACACAGGGTTCAGCAATGAATGAATTACAGAACCCGCTTGACCTTGCTCTTGATAGTCAACAAAGTTTATATGTTGCCGATTATGTTAATCACCGTATCCAAAAATATTTTACAAATGGTAGTATCACTACAGTGTTTTCCAGTTTTCCAGACTATGTTAGCAACGTATTTATCGATAAATCTGATAATCTCTATTTTACTCTTTTTGCGGAGGTAAAAAAATTGAATATGACCAGTGGTTTAATAACACGAGTAGCTAGCAATGATGGAAATGCTGGATCAGCATTGAATCAATTAGATGGTCCTCAAGGTCTTTATGTTGATCAGAATGGTAGTGTCTACGTGTCAGACACTTATAACATGCGTGTAATGAAATGGTTAGTTGGCGCAACTCAGTAGTTGTCGGTGGAAATGGCCTGGGTAATTCTAGTTCTTGTCTCAATTTCCCATTCGGAATATTTGTTGATGAAATTCGTGAAAAAGGTGCAGTCTATATTTGCGATTGGGGCAATAGTCGAACTCAGAAATAGTTACCAGGTACATTTGCTGGAATAACGATTGCACAAATCACCTGGCCAACATCAATTATTGTTGATACAAACGGTATTATGTACATATCTCATTACACGGTTGATGTATGGGATGAAGTAGTTAAATGGCTACCAAATGCAAATGTCGGACAAGTGATTGTTTCTGACAACTTATGGGGTCCCTTTGGCCTTCGATTTGATATAAATTTCAATTTATATCTGGCAGATCGAGGAAACAA